GACGTTCCTTGAGGAAAAGTAATTTTTTGTTAGGTGTTTTTTTAATTTTAGATTTTCTTTTGTTTTTCTAATTTCTCAATGTTTATTTTCATTATGGTTTTAAATATTAAGGTTGACAGGGGGTCTGCATATGTAATTTTCCTTAATTTTTCATTAATGGCCTTCGTCCGGCCCGCGACCCGTCATTATAACACGATTCGGCCCGCAGGGTCGAATGAGTTGCCGACCCCTGTTTTAGGAGCTCCACCAAAAAAGCAAAAGCAGCAGGGATCCGATTGTAACTTGACATTTTTTTTAAAAAGGTGAAGCCTTACAACAACCAAAAGAATAAAATTAGCTATTTCTGGGTCCAAAGAACATTTTGGACTAGAGATCCGAAATCATGAGCCGTTGAATACATTCAAAGATTCCTCTTAAGCTCATATGAGGCTGGATGAAAAGTATGTACATTTCAATTAACCACCGATACATTTATATTACCTTTGCTTTTTTTCTCCTTTCTCTTCTCGTTCATTCTTCGCATCCTCCTCTTCGCTTTCTATCGCACCTAACGTCGTGCATTTGTTTATTTATTTATAACTTGAAGCCCTCCTTCGGCAAGTTTGGCCCTGGTATTGTTAGAGGGGTTTTATCAGTACTGCACGATTTTCAGTTGTGTAAAAATATAGGATAGGGGGGCTTAGGCCCCAACTATCCATTCCAGAACGTCGCTAAATTCAATTTTCAAACGACTTTTATTTCAAAGTTACTGAATTTCCTTACATTGTCAAAATTACTGAATTTTCCGTTACCGAATCTTCCGTTACTGTTATATAGGAATAATGTGTCGCTGCTGACACTGGAGATTGAACACACATCCCCAGAGAGCAAACACAGGCGATCCCATTTTGAATAAGTAGATCACGTGATGGTAAAGAAAATGTATATATGGGAATTAGCGTGGCGTCTAAGTGATCACTATCCGAATTACTTCGGAGGTGTGCTTGTCGAACTCTCTGCCTCTGAGCAGAGAGGAACCCAGACAAGGCTATGCCAAAGGGCAGAGTATCGTCTGAGGTGGCAGACAGCTACCCGACCCCGTTTTCACGGGGTTTAGGGGATATTTTTGCCCGAGCATACGGGCTCGTATATCCCACAATAAACTCGGCCTTGTGCCACACCCGACCGCGTGGGGCGGTAGGTGAATATCTCACTATCTGAATTACTTGTGTGCTTGTGAAATCTCTGCCTCTGAGCAGAGAGGAACCCAGACGAGGCTATGCCAAAGCGCAGAGTCTCGTCTGGGGTGGTAGACAGCTACTCAATCCCGTTTTTACGGGGTCTACGGGTAATTTTTGCCCGAGCCTCCGGGTTCGGATACCCCACAATAAACACAGCCTTGTGCAACACCCGATCGCGTGGGAGGGTAGGTGAATATCATCACTATCCGAATTACTTCGGAGGTGTGCTTGTCGAACTCTCTCTGCCTCTGGACAGAGAGGAACCCAGACGAGGCTATGCCAAAGGGTAGAGTCTCGTCTGTGGTGGTAGACAGCGACCTGACGCCGGGGTTAACGGCTTGGATACCCCACAATAAACTCGGCTTTGTGCCACGTTCGACCGCGTGGGGCGGTAGGTGAATATCATCACTTCGGGGGTGTGCTGTTCAAACTCTCTGCCTTCAGGCAGATATCATCCCCAGAAGAGGCTGTGCCAAATGGCAGTCTCGTTTGCCGTGTTAGACAGCTAAACTTTCCCAAGACTTTGCTTCCCCGATCCCAACATCTTAACTTGTTCATGTCTAGGGTTAACAATTATCTGCCACATATCCGCATAATATGTGACATTTACTCTCTAATACTATACCTCGAGTGGCTCTCGGGATCTGTATTGGGTGAGCATCATTGTAAAAACATTGTTATATAAGAATAAAATGTCGCTGCCGACACTTAGGTTTGAACAGAGATCATTAGAGAGCAAACAGAGGCGATCCCATTTTGAATAAGTAGATCACATGATAGTAAAGGAAATGTATATATGGGAATTAGCGTGGCGTCTAAGGGATCACTATATACGGATGGCCCCCTCCCCCCGCAGACAATGAATTGTATATATGGGGACTAGTTAGGATTTCATAGAGTTTCTGAGGCATTATGGTGGATGAGGTAAGAAAGGTAAGTAAGAATGCGTTGTTTTGGTGAAAGGGATATTGTTTGTATGTTTGGGTCAGTGTTTGTGGCTAGCTAAGTTTAATAAGAAGACAGAAGAAGACCATTGTTTTCCCCAGTCCCCCTTTTTCGGCCTTGTGTCGCATTTGTACAATTCACGTACAATACGGATTACTTCGGAAGTGTGCTTGTCAAACTCTCAGCCTCTCTGTAGAGAGGAACCCAGACGAGGCTATGTCAAAGAGACAGCTACCCAACCCCGTTTTCCGTGAAATTTACGGAGATTTTTTACCCGAGCCTATGGGCTTGGATATCACACAATAAACTCTGCCTTGTGCCACATCCAACCTAGTGGGGTGGTTAGTAAATATCATCACTATATGGATTACTATTCAGATAACAATTCCTAGGTTATTTTTCGAGCGAGTATTATCGAGTAAGTACTATTAGCGCGAGTGATATTCGAAGGCGTCTGACACCAGTATTGTTCAACGGCGTTACTATAGTTGTATCTGCGATTACAAAGTCTCTACTACACCGAGCATTACGAAAGTGACAACGAGTATTCGTTGACATTACAAAAATGGCAGAGTGTCCGTTGACATCACAAAAGTAACCGAATTTTCCGTTATCGAATTTTCTTAAATTTGTCATTTTTTATGGCAGGTTTCGTGTTAGTATTCTTTGAATATTTTTAATTTTTATTGATTTAAAAAGCTGAACATTTTATATAATTTGATAAAATGCAAATACTTAATTACTTAAATATGGCCGTCATTTTTATGATGTGGGCCGTGTTATAACTCATTTAATATTTTTTTTTTACTTTTAATGATTTAAAAAGCAGAATATTTGAAAAAATATGACACTATATATATTTCTTTATAATATTAGTCGTCGATTAAGCTTTCTATTATATTGGTCATCGATCTAAGCATTCTATCATATTGGTGTTTGATCTAAGCGTGCTAAGATTTCTATCATATTAGTCGTCGATCTAAGCTTTCTAAGATTTCTATTAGATTCGTCGTCGATCTAAGCTTTCTATTAGATTAGACGGATATCTAAGTTTTGTATTACACTGGTCGTCGATGAAAAACTTCTATCATATAGATGTAAGCTTTGTTTTATATTGGTCGTCGATCTCAGCGTTCTATTAGATTGGTTGTCGATCTAAGCTTACTATTAGATTGGTCATCGATCTAAGCATTCTATCATATTGGTGGTTGATCTAAGCGTGCTAAGCTTTCTATTACATTCGTCGTCAATCTAAGCTTTCTATTACATTCGTCGTCGATCTAAGCCTTCTATTAAATTGGTCGTCGATCTAAATTTTCTAATGGTCGTCGATGTAAGCTTTCTATTAGATTCGTCGTCGATCTAAGCTTTCTATTATATTGGTCACCGATCTAACTTTTCTAAGCTTTCTATTAGATTAGCGTGGATCTAAGCTTTCTATTAAATTGGTCGTCGATCTAAGCTTTCTATTATATTGGTCGTCGATCTAAGCTTTGTATTAGATTCGTCGTCGATCTAAACTTTCTAAGCTTTCTATCAGATTGGTCGTCTATCTAAGTTTTCTATTAGATTGGTCGTTCATCTAAGCATTCTATTACATTCGTCGTCGATCTAAGCTTTCTATTATATTTGTCGTCGATCTAAGCTTTCTAAGCTTACTATTATATTGGTCGTTGATCTAAGCATTCTATTAGATTGGTCATCGATCTAAGCTTTCTATTAGATTGGTCGTCGATCTAATGGTCTGCCGATCTAAACTTTCTATTAGATTGGTCGTCGATCTAAGCTTTCTATTAGATTGGACGGTTATCTAAGTTTTTTATCATATTGGTCGTCGATAAAAGTATTCTAAGCTTTCTATTAGATTCGTCTTCGATCTAAGATTTCTATCATATTAGTCGTCGATCTAAGCTTTCTAAGATTTCTATTAGATTCGTCGTCGATCTAAGATGTCTATCATATTAGTCGTCGATCTAAGCTTTCTAAGATTTCTATTAGATTCGTCGTCGATCTAAGATTTCTATTAGATTCGTCGTCGATCTAAGATTTCTATTAGATTCGTCGTCGATCTAAGATTTCTATCATATTAGTCGTCGAACTAAGCTTTCTAAGATTTCTATTAGATTCGTCGTCGATCTAAGCTTTCTATTAGATTGGTCGTCGATCTAAGATTTCTATTAGATTCGTCGTCGATCTCAGCGTTCTATTAGATTGGTCATCGATCTAAGCTTTTTAAGCTTTCTAGTAGATTGATCGTCGATCTAAGCTTTCTATTAGATTGGTCGTCGGTCTAAACTTTCTATCTCCATGTTATATTGGATGTCGATTTAATCTTTCTAAGCCATTATCAAAGTGGTTATAAACACTCTGATAGCGCACATGCCGAATATGTATCTATACCAATAAAAATCGCAAAATTATTGGGATTTTTCCTGACACAGGCAAATATGTTTCTAAATAAATTCTAGAAAAATCCAAAAATATTATGAAACCATAAAAGATCATTATCGTATTTGCATTTCACATCACTGTGCAAACAGTACAAGAGAAATAAAGGTCTTTTAAAAAAATGTTGTCGTAAAGGAGAAAATACTGTTTTAAATCCTTAGCATTTTAGCTATTTTTAAGTAAATTTATGAGCACGCAGATCTGTCATCTTCCCACATTTAGAAATCGTTGGTGTGCAAGGACGCCATGTTGAAAGGAACAGAAAAGGCGGGAAATTTATTGGAATTGTGCTGTCCATTTCGATATCAGGTTTTGCGACAAAACTAGGTTAATTGGGATTTGGATCTTGTTGCCTCGGTCGAGGGGCTTGGGCGTGGCTGTTGGTGTATGACCCCCCCTCCACTAATCCTTTGCACTTGTCTTCTCTCATTATGCCTGCTTTTCTGTCTCTCTTTCTCTCTTTCTCTCTTAAACACGCACAGACACAAACACACACATATCCTTGCTAGCTTTGTCTTAATTTGGGCTATCTATAATAACATCTGTTTGTCTGTCGGTCTAAAACAAATGGAATCGGACCTTAATTTCGGTTAGTCAAGATAACCGTCGCCCAGGATCGAGGATTTAAAATTCGACAATTAAAATCTACGAACATGCATTAAATCCCAACAAGATAAGCCGTAATATTTGGGGGGGGGGAGGGAGGTATTTGTCGATAGCGCAAAATAAGACAAGGATCAACAAAAATGATATCACTCGTAAGTTGCGGCATCTATCTATCTATCTATCTATCTATCTATCTATCAGAGTCTGCTCATATTTAACGATCTAGCTAAGTTTGTTTATCTATCTAAATCTGTTCACATCTATCTATCTATCTATCCGAATCTATTTATTATGTAAGTTTATATCTATCGATCTAGCTAAATCTTTTCATCTATCTAAATCTTTTCATCTATCTAAATCTTTTCATTTTTCTATCTATCTATCTATCTATCTATCTATCTATCTATCTATCTTCATTATCCCCCGTCTCTCTATCTATCTATTTTTATATAATGTATGTTGTTTCTTTTGTATAATAATGTTTTCGATTATTTTGAATTCTTCCTTGCTATGAGTGATGTGTATTATTTTGTTATCTACTAATTATTATCTACTAATTATTGTCATTGCTTGTGATGTTGTCATCGATATGTACACGAATTGGTACTAAAGCTCGATAAGTGATAAGTCAAGTATAATGCTTTTGTGACCAATGCAAGAATTTAATGTTGTTTTTGTGGCGAATGATATTGCAGATATATTTCTACCTATCTATTGGGCGAGAACAAAGTTTGTAGGATATTGTCTGAAACTTATTACAAACATACATATTCTGGAAGGTAATACTTCATTAGATGTAATAATAATAATAACAATAATAATAATAATAATGATGATGATCATAATAATAATGATGATGATAATAATAATAGCAATAAAGATAACAGTAATAATAACGATAATAATAATGATAATAATTATAATAATGATAATAATAATAATGATGATAATATTGATAATAATAATATTAAACACAATGCACACTGACAGAACAATCAAAGCCAACCACCCAGATATTGTTATTAAAAACCACAAACAAAAAAAGTGCCTCCTTATTGATATGGCAGTCCCTGTGGACTGCAATGTATCTTGTCAAAATACAAGGACCTTGAAATAGAAATCTCAAAAATGTGGTACATGGGAACATCAACAATCCCTGTTGTAGTTGGAGCCCTAGGATTGGTTGGAAAAGATTGCAGTAGACTAATTGAAGGGATTCCTGGAAGTCCATGCCTCAAAGAGATACAAAAAATTATTCTGACAAGTACAGCCCACACTTTACGAAGGGCTTTATCTATGTAAAATATGTTATTTTATTTTTATTTTTTTCAGTGGAAAATGTCATGATGGCATTTCTAATCTTAGGTCACTGAGCGGGACCCGGAAAGAAAGGATATTCGTATTGTGAGCAGGCAGATCTGATTTTTACAATGCGAATGGTAATGGACGTGAGGCTGCACGTCTATATCAGATTGGGTTTCCAGGCCGAAGGCAGCCGAGTCATCCAAACTTTACTGCTGTTTATCGTCGAGTTGCTGAGACAGGATCCGTGGCATGACAAACTATGGATCAAGGAAGACCGAGATCCGCTCGTTAATCTGACCACGAAGAACACATTCTACAGGATGAGACGATCTAGGGATCAGTACACGTCAAGTGGCCATAGCATGACGTATATCTCATAGTACCGTATGCAGGGTACTTCAAGAACAGCTCCTGTATCCGTATCATTTTCAACGTGTGCAGAGTCTTTTTCCCTCTGATCAATCACCATAGGAAACCTTTTTTCCGATGGTTTATTGCATAAACTGCTTATCCGTTGTTTGTCGCTTGAGTCTTGTTTAAGGATGAAACTACTAAACTCCGTCCGCAAAATATTCGTACGAAATACGATTGTAATAGCCTCATTCACGTGTAAAAAAATGATTAAAATAATGGAAGAAAAGGCCAACACATAATACTATCTATCAGTATCTATGTCTGAACTTATCTATCTATCTATCTATCTATCTATCTATCTATCTATCTATCTATGCCTGATACCTTATCTATCTATCTATCTATCTATCTATCTATCTATCTATCTATCTGCTTGGTACATTATCTATCTATCTATCTATCTATCTATCTATCTATCTATCTCAGTCTATTCATTATCTTTCTCATTTTGTTCGTCTCTCTATCTATCTATCTATCTATCTATCTATCTATCTATCTATCTCAATCTGTTTATATCTATCTATCTATCAATCTATCTATCTATCTATGTGAAAGAGATAAAATAACACAAGTAACATCTGTGGGCAGACAGGAATCCCCATAGTATAATATATTGTTTGAAAAAGGAAACAAAATAAAACTTACTTCATGGACGTCCGTACGTAAAAAGAATCTTGTGGGGAAGCCATATTGTTTTTATGCTGGCAAATTAACGCAAAATCACGGCGACCACGAGATTTCTTTTAAGCATTTCACCCCAAGCAAGGCGGGAAGCCACTTGGACGCAAGGGGTTACAGAAAATTTAGGAGTGATAGAAGAAAGGATGAGGAGAAGGGTAGTGGATAGATCAAGGCAACTGGAGAGGTCGATTGACATTACACTTGAATTGCTGGAGATTATAGCTCTCAGGGAAACTGGAATAGGGAAGGGAGTTCCACAGGCGAGAGGTGCGAGACATGAAGCTATTGTAGTAGAAGAGACGGCTACATTTAGGAGTTTCGACAGTGAAAGGGTGAGAGCGGGATGCCAGCCTCGTAGGGCGCTTGAACTCATGAAGTCTAGGAACCAGCGAATGCAGCTCCTCGGAGCAATTGCCATGAAAGTATTTGTAAAACAGACAGAGAGAGGCGACAGCGCATCTGTGAGAAAATGACTGTAGACGAGATGCCAGAGCAGGGCCAATTATATTGCATATCCGCCTCTGGAGCCTATCAAGAACCCCGAGGCAAACAGAAGGGGCTCCAGACCATATATGGCAGCAATACTCCATGCAAGGGCGAATTATTGATTTGTAGATCTGGAGGATCGATTCCGGGGAGAAAAATTTCCTGGCGCGGCACAGGGAGCCAACTTTCCTTGCGGTGGACAAAAACATAATGAGGGGTGTATGAAAGACGGGGACAAAGAAGGAAATTAATCTACAAAAGATCAGACAATACGACAAATACAACATCTACACAATACAGCATCAGTTTATGATTAATATGTGGGCTGGAATTGTAGCTGATTGTCTGGTAGGTATATATGTTCTCCTATCATGACTTACAGTTGTTTACAGGGACTTTACTTCGAACATACTTCCAGACATGCTAGAGGATGTGCTCCTGCTAATTCGAAGACACATATGGTTCATGTATGATGGGGCTCCAACAGATTTTAGTCGTATTGTTCGCAATGCATTGGCTGACACTTTGATCACAGGAGAACTTTTGTTTTATAGCACAAACTACCGATCAATTGTTTGTTTCTTCAGTCTTTTTTTACAGACGAGGCAACATTTGGAAGAGATGGAATAACAAATTTACACACCCAACATTTGTCGGTTGATCTGAATACAATACAGGCTAGACACCAGCATCTGTTTACGATTAATGTGCGAGCTGGAATTGTAGGTGACTGTCTGGTAGGTCCATATGTTCTTCCAGCACGTCTTACAGGAACTCTCTACAGGGAGTTTATTTCGAACACACTCCCAGACCTGCTAGAGGATGTACTCCTGCTAATACGAAGACGCGTGTGTTTCATGCTTGATGAGACACCAGAACACTTTAGTCACATTGTTCGCTTTGCCCTGGCTGACATCCACCATGAAAGATGGAGAGGTAGGGGAGGACCAGTTCCTTGTCCTGGACGTTCTCCCGACTTCAGTCCTTTGGATTTTTATCTGTGGGGCCACATAAAACAATTGGTTTATGCAGCAGACATTAATAATACAGTGACGCTTCATCAACGTGTGATGGGGGCGGACTGCGAAACAATTCGACACCGCGTGGGATTATTTGAAAGAGTCCGACGGGTGAATGCGTGTGTAAAAGCAAACGGAGGACATTTTAAATATTTTTTATGAGTTGCTGTGTTGAGGTACAAGGATGGCCATTTTCGGAGCAAAGCAAACGGAGGACATTTTAAATATTTGTTATGAGTTGCTGTGTTGAGGTACAAGGATGGCCTTTCTCGACATATGTTTGTATGGATATTTTTTCCTTGTTTTGGTGTCAGGAACCCGACCACGCATTTTGTAAAAGTATTTTTGATACAGCCTGTAATCGCTCAACTAGGACCCATTTAAACACACATAGAAACCTACTAAACGACGTCCGCAAAATATTCGTACAAAATACGACTGTAATAGCCTCATTCACGTGTAAAAAAATGATTAAAATAATGGAAGAAAAGGCCAACACATAATACTATCTATCAGTATCTATGTCTGAATCTATCTATCTATCTATCTATCTATCTATCTATCTATCTATCTATCTATTTCTGCCTGATAAATTATCTATCTATCTATCTATCTACCTATCTATCTATCTCTGCCTGATACATTATCTATCTATCTATCTATCTATCTATCTATCTCAGTCTGTTCATATCTATCTATCTATCTATCTATCTATCTATCTATCTATCTATCTATCTATGCCTGATACATTATCTATCTATCTATCTATCTATCTATCTATCTATCTATCTATCTATCTATCTGTTCATTTAAACACACATAGAAACCTTCCAAACTACATCCGCAAAATACTCGTAAAAGTACGACTATAATAGCCTCATCCACGTGTAAAAAATGGTTAAAATTATGGAAGTATTAATCATAAAAAGAAAAAGCTGACACTGTAATATTAACTATGAACAAGGCCACAATATGCTGACTGTGTTTGGAAAGTTAAAAAAAACATATGTTATATACGGTACCTATGAACACAAATGGGTATCTTTTTTTTCTACTTTGTCATATAAATTGCCCAATACTGTTCTTGACATATAAAAATAAATATCATTATATCATTCATTTGCGGGAGGGAGAGATCATTTTAAATATGTGTAAGAGAATTACTTCGATGGAAACGTTAAAAACTATCAGGTTGCGTCGTTCTTCTCGTGATCAAATCCAACAAACTTGGCAAACTTAGTCAACGCAATATAATCCCCTATGTCTTAGTGGCTTTATTGCCTTGAAAAGATTAATATATATATATATATATATATATATATACTCTTCATTTTAAATGTTATTTTTAATGGATATTCATATTTGTTAAATATTATATTTTTCCATTTCCGTCTACCGACATAAATATTGTAGAAATCCCATTAAAGAAAAATATGCTTTCTCCGGCAGGATTCGAACCTGCGTCCTCCTGGGCAGAGGCAAATCGTCGTTAAATCCGACGTGCCTTAACCAACGCTGTCTCAGAACAGTTTTAAAGATGGGGTAAAGTCCAAATTATATATGGATGTACAGGGAGCGATGAATAAATTGTCGTCTGAATGACGCAAAAATGAAAATAACACTGACATCTCATTTTAGCAGATATATTTACCAAAATTACACAAAAATATCTTGAAATAGTAAAGAGTACATTTATTCAATAAAATCACCATTGGTTTCAACCATGGCTTCCAGATGACTTCAGAATCTCCTGCAACTCTTCTGGGCAGTCTCCTTGTTTAACTTGGTGAATTCTGCCATAATTCTTGCCTTCAGTTCATCTTTGGTGTTACAAGGAGTTTTGTTGGTCTCTCGCTCAACTGCACCTTACACATAATAATCAATGGGGTCACAGTTTGGGGAGTTAGGTGGTCAGATGTAAGGGGGTGATGTGGTCGCAGAAATTGTCTGACAGACATGATTCTCCTGCTTGTGTGGCATGGTGCAGAATCTTATTACCAGACATAGGGTCTCCCAGCAGTCACCCTCTTGATCCAGAACAACACCAACACCTCAAGGTACATGACGTAGAACTCCGTGTTGAGTCTGAGCCCCTTACCAACAAATTCAGGAGTTCTTTTCCGATCAGAACGACCAGAATAAATTTTCTGAGCTGCCGAACCTTTGTAATCACCATTAGACTCGTCGAAATCTTTTCGAATCCTTTGGACTGTCCTCAGATTGACACCCAAACACACTGAAATGTTCGTATTGGAGCTTCCGGTGCGAATGCCAAGCAGTACAGCATGCCGTTTCCAAATTTCTGGCGGACTGAATTGCATCATGGTGCTCTCTTTTTCTCACAAACAACGAACATGCGCAAAATTAAAAATATAAAATGGTGACAATTTACCTATCGAACCCCGTATATATATATATATATATATATATATATATATATATATATATATATATATATATATATATATATATTCTTACTCTGACCTGGACATTGAGTTCTACCTGGATTCTATCCTCTTGAGAATTTATATATATATATATATATATATATATATATATATACAAGTATAGTATTGGTGTATACGGAATAAATTCCAATAACCAAAAATACTATTCTTAAAAGAGTGCTCAATACAGAGTAGAGCAAATACAATTATTTATTCGAAAATTGTAACATAAATATGTTATAAAATCCCTTATTTATGTTATAATTTTCGAATAAATAATTATATATATATATATATATATATATATATATATATTGACCACTAATATTATCTATCTATCTATGTTATAATTTTCGAATAAATAATTTGTATACATATATATATATCTATTTATGTTATAATTTTCGAATAAATAATTGTATATATATATATATATATATATATATATATATATATTTATGTTATAATTTTCGAATAAATAATTGTATATACATATATATATATATCTATTTATGTTATAATTTTCGAATAAATAATTGTATATATATATATATATATATATTTATGTTATAATTTTCGAATAAATCTTTTATATATATATATATATATATATATATATATATATATATATATATATATATATATATATATATATTAACCACTAATACTATCTATCTATCTATCTATCTATCTATCTATCTATCAGTATATATATATATATATATATATATATATATATATATATATATATATACTATAGTCTATACTACATCTGTTTCATTAATTATTTTCTTAAAAATTTTAAATCTAAATTGGTTTGTTAAATACAAATTCAAATTTCCGCTTCGTTTAAATTTCTTAATAATTACAAAATGTAATGATATTTTTTTTTACTGAAAAGGCGTACCTCATTAGATTTACATCATATTCTTT